TCCTCCTCTGGGCTCCATTCCGCTTTGCAGAAATCCAGAATCCTCCTCCAATCTGATGCTCATTCCTCCTCCCCCCCCCCCATCCCAAAGGACAGATCCAAGACCCCCTCCCCCAAGCATCTTATATTTAAATTATATTTCCCGGGGCTGGTTGGGTCGGGGCGCTTAGGGAGAAAGCAGTGATTTTAGCAGGACAAAGTGCATCCCGCCGGGGCCGCGGCGCGGCTGTGGGAGACAGACTGCCTGCACTTTCTTTGTCTAGGGCGCCGGCCCATCGCGCGGTTCTTCCTCCTCCCTAAGGCTCCCCGGCGCCGCGGATCCCGCTCCCGCACGCGCTCTCGCTGCTGGGCGGTGGCCCGTGACTCCCTCCCCCAGCTCCCTATCCCTGCGGGACCCACCTTGCCGCCCCACGATCTCGGCGACATGCTCGGAACTGGGCACTGGCACGCACTCGGTCATGTTCACGCTCTTCTTGCGCGGCTCGCTGTCGTAGAGAGAGGCGCCCTCGTCACTGTCCAGCCCCAGCAGCGAAAGCTGATCGAGCGCGAGCTGCAGGGCTCTTTGGTCATCCAGGGTCTCTCCCCCGCCGCTGCTGCTGCCGCCTCCCCCGCCGCCGCCTCCCCCTCCGCCGCCGCTGCCGTTGCGCTCCAGGTCTGCAAACAGCGAGCTGGGCATCGCTCGGCCGTGCGCGCCGCGCCCCCACCGGCCCTCGACTCGGCGGCGAGAAGCTACGACCACAAAGGCAGCCGGGAAGCGGGTGGTCAGGAGTGGGGAGGCCGGCCGGCTGCGGAGGGCTCCGTTGCTCCTTTCTCCGTGCCGGGAGGAGTGGGTCGCTCCGTGCGGTCCGCACCAGGCAGTGGCTGCAGGAGCCCCCGCCTGGGTCCCCACCCCAGATCTGCTGGCGGGTGGGGTGGGGGCAGAGCTCGAGCGGCGGCCGCGCGTGCCCCCCGACTGCCCGGTTGGCTGGCCACAATGCCGAGCGAGAAGCGAGCAGGCGAGCGACTGCAGCGTTTCTTTAAGGAGCCCCTCCCCGGCTCCTCCACTCCCGCCCGCCCTCACTCAGCGCTTTTTCCTCCTCTCCTCCCCGCCTCTTGACTGAGCCTCTGCAGCCAGACGGCTCCGGAGGGGGACGAGGGAGGCGCAACGTCACCGGCGAGAGCTGACACTACAATGCTACTGACACTATCGCTGGGGTAGGCGATTGGCGCGCGCCGGTCCGGGGGCGGGCGGAGGCCGCGGGCTGAGCGAGCGAAGAACTACCCCCACCCCTCGCCTCCCCAGCGCTCGCCGCAGCCCGCCCCGTCCTCCTCCCGGCCGCGCCCCTCCCCCGCCGCCGCTAACGCCTCTCTTTGTTGTCTAATGCGGGACCGGCAGGCTCGGGACACTTGTTTGTACCTATCAGCCGAGGACAATCACTGTCTCCAGGTTTCCTCCCTCGCCCGACTGAGAAAAAAACACGCGCCCAACTCTGATGCTAGGGGCCCAGCTCTAAGAGAGCAGTCCTTACAAAGTCCCGTTAGTGCCCCCAAATATGAGCAACCCCTGGAGCCAAAGGTGCGACTGGGAGAAGGGTCCACTGTCTGCCCAAAAGGACGGTCCAAGCCCTCGGACGCGGAAAGCGGGACTCGATGACCTGGGGCGCACGAACAAAGTGGCTCCCGGCGCGGGCTGCCCACCTGCACGGGAGCGCAGGAGACACAAAGGCACACGCCCGCCCTCACCGCCACCCCGCGCGCGCGCCCGCGCCTGCATTTCTGTCCCCTTGGGCTGCACTTCGCCCAACTGGCCCTGAAACTGCGAATAAGAAACGGCCAGAAGCCGGCTGCAGCGCGAACCTCGCCGGCCCAGCCGCCAGTGACCTCTGGAATGCACGGAGCCGGGGTCCTGCACAAGCCCAGCCCGCCTGCCGAGACGCCGAGGGCAAGACACGCGCACGAGCGTCGCGCAACCACCGCGGGGACGCTGGCCACAGCGCTAGCGGGCGGCGCGAGTGAGCGCGCCCGCTGCTCCTCCACCCTCCCTCCCGGCTGGGCATGCGCCGTGCGCTCGAGGAGCCGGCGGGCCCTTTAAGGCAAGCGCGGCGGAGCGCGCGGCGGCCCCGCCCGCGGCCCCGCCCCGAAGGGAGGAGTGCGCTCCAGGCCCGGCCGCTCTTTGTGCGCTTCTCAGGGTGGGGGCGGTGGCGGAGGGAGGGTGCGACGGGACCGGCCGGCGGGCGGGGCGCGCCGCGAGGCCGACAAGGATGATGAGCTGCGCCCCCTTCTGGATCTTCCGAGGGCAGCCTCCGAGAGCGAGAGAGAAGAAAGGAGGCTTTGAGGGGCGCTGCCCGCACACTGGCGTCCCTCTGCTCGCGTCCCCCTCGGCCACCGACCCGGGCGGACACCCCTCGGGCCCCAAGCGCGCTCCTCTCCTTTGTCCTGGGCGCTGCCTGGCTCGCCGCAGCCGCTGCGCCCCGCCACGGGCCGTTCCGCAGAACGGCGGGAGTTGCGTTCCGCCGAGACGGCAGCGTCCGCGCAGCGGGACGCCTGCGAGGACAATGAAGCCATGTGGCCTCAGTCGCAGACGGGCTGACTCGGGAGACCTCGTGGTGCCGCGAGGCGATCCTGGGGCTTGGAGGCAGAGGCTCCCCCAAGCGCCCCCTGCGTGACCTGCGGAGAGAGAGCGAGCGCCCAGGGCCTGGATTTCTCATCCGTAAAATGGCAAACAGTAATACTCGTCCTACCCACCATCTGGGTTGTTCTGAGGATTAAATATGACAATAGAGGTTAGCGCCCTTTGTTATCAGTAGACTGGCAAAAGCCTTCACTTTTGAGAACACTAGGGTGATCCCTTTCATACTGGTTCATCTGGCGCTGTCTTGGGGCAGAGGTGCTGATTATTTCCATAGGGAAATGAGGCTTAGAAGCCACTTAGAGTGGTTATTTCCTCAGGGTGGTTACGTCAGCTTCCCTGAGCGGGCTGTGTGTGTGTCTTTCTTGAAAGGGAATGCTCAGTTTGGGGCTGGGGGAGCGGAGATGGTGCCAGTCCTCCGTGGAAGCCACCAGCCAGAGCTCCAAGGGGGAAGTCCTGTAATTTTTCACTCTGTTTATGGACTCGAGTCCAGCTAATTTGGGAATGAGGAGGGAGCGCCCTCGAGGATTCCTGCGGGAGACGGAGGGGCTCCCAATAAAGCGTCTTGGCTGGGGGAGACCACGGATGAGTCCCGGCCTGGTGCCCCTCACTCAGAGCCTGCAAACACTGAGGCAGAGAGGAAAACCACTAGGAAGGCCGGAGCGTTTCTATCTTGCCAATGCAACTGACGAGTGTCTGGCCTCTCAGCTTTGTTTCTAGGAATTTAATGGTTTCCAGATTGAGCCACCTGAGGTTTCTTTTTTTAGATAACAAACATAATAAGGTAAAGTTGTTCCTCCGCTTCCATGATGTTGAGGCATGTGCGCAGGTAAATGGGGTGTAGAGGAGTGCGCTTCCCCTGGGGTTGCTTGTGCTAGGGAGTTCTGCCACAGCTATTTTCAGGCCTGCCATAGCACCTTCCCCTCCTACCTGTGGTGTTAGAATTTCAGATGGGTTAATTCAGAAATTCGTTTACATTTACAGGGTTAGATGGTTCAGAGATAAGGTTCCTGGGGTCCCTGGGTCATTACCAGGGAGATGAATGCAACACTTCTCCAAAGTGACGTGCTTAATGTCTTTCTTACCTGCTATATCATGAAGGGGGGGAAACTAACTGCATCTGTAACAGTTCCGGATGCAAAATAGAGACCAAGTATTTGTTAAATAAAATCGCGCATCTTAGGATAAGCTGAAACTCTGCCCACAGGAATTCATGGAAAGCTGCCATCCTGCGATGCCCAGGATATTCCACGTAGCCCAGGTCACAGTAAAATCTATATAGAGATCAGCAGGGTCCTCTGAAGGCACCCAGGAAATCGGAGACCCTGCTGAGAGTCTAGTGTGGTGGATGGAGCTATGCCATCTGGCACATCTGTTCCAGTCTCAGCTCTACCTCGGTGGTTCTTGTCTGTAAAAAGAGGCCAGTAACCAGCCGCCTACCTACCTCATAGGGTCGTTTTAGTGAGATGGGTAATGTCTTAGTCATCTAGTGCTGCTATAACAGAAATACCACAAGTGGATGGCTTTAACAAAGAGAAAGTTATTTCTTCACAGTGAAGTAGGCTAAAAGTCCAAATTCAGGGCATCTGCTCCGGGGAAGGCTTTCTCTCTCTGTCTGCCTTCTTATCAGTCTTCCCCCGGACTAGGAGCTTCTCTGCTCAGGAAGCCGAGGTCCAAAGGACACGCTCTGCTCCGACACTGCTTTCTTGGCAGTATGAGGCCCCCCTGTCTTTCTGCTCGCTTCTCTCTTTTATAGCTCAAGAGATTGCCTCCAGACACAATCCAATCTTGTAGATTAAGTACTGCCTCACTAACACAACTGCTGTCCACCCTCCCTCATTAACATCATAGAGGCAAGATTTACAGGGTATAGGAAAATCGCACAATACCAGAAATCATGGCCCAGCCAAACTGATACACACATTTTGGGGGGGACATAATTCAACCCATGACAGGTAATGATGGTGAAAGGTAACTCTTCATAAATTACAAAGTGCTACACAGATGTGTATGCATTAGTGGTTCAGTGGTAGAATTCTCACCTTCCGTATGGGAGACCCAGGTTCGATTCCTGGCCAATGCACCTCATGTGCAGCCACCACCCATCTGTCAGCGGAGCTTGCGTGTTGCTATGATGCTGAACAGGTTCCAGCGGATCTTCCAGACTGACAGACTGAGAAGAAAGGCCTGGTGATCTACTTCGGTAAAATCAGCTAGTGAAAACCCTATGGATCACAATGGTCTGACCTGCAACCGTTCGTGGAGATGACGCAGGACTGCACAGCATTTAGTTCCATTGTGCAAGGATCACCATGAGTCAGGGGCCAACTCAGCAGCAGGTAGCAGCAACATAAATGTAGTGTGGTTTACCCCAGCCACTTCTCGCCTTCCCTACGTGTATCTACTACTGATTGGCCAGGGTATTTTCTGACACTTGAATGCTGTTATAAACTTTATGATCGGGATATTTTCATTCCCTATTAGTGACTTTAATAAGCCAAGACATCATAAAAATTGCAAAGTGCAGTTCTGTTTTTAAATAAATAATACACCCTAATGCCATATTTCTGCTTAGACTTTCCCAGGCTTCTTTAGGATCCCAGAGCTTAGCTACTTTTCCTGATACAGAACACATTCCCGAAGGACTTCCCCTCCATAGCCTTATTGTTTTTTATTAGCACAAGAGAGAAGTTTGCGAAGTGTGGTCTGGTAATATAATAGAGAATTTTAGTTGTTCCAAAATAAGAAAAGATTGTCACACAGAAACAAACAAGATTAAGACAGCTTTGTACTTGTGTTTCTAAAGGCCTCCAACAGTTTTACACACATCTTGCTTGCTTTTGCAACAAGATAGTTGACAAAAGAAAATCCTCATGGGAAAACAAAGCACACTTTCAGTCAACTCATTCAATACTTATTGAGCACTTACATCCCTGAGCATAGGGGTGTAAGTCCGGACTAAAGGGAGGGTACTTCCCTTAAATGCTGGTCATGTCCAAACACAGTCACATAGCATAAGCCCAGACAGTGGTGAATCTGCCTAAGGTCCAGGGAAGACTTAGAAGAGAAAGGGACATTGGAGTTGCGCCTCCAACGAATGAAGTGTGAGGTTAATTGAGACCTGTGTCTAACACAGATATCTAGCAGGACCTCAGTGTTTTCTTAAATGAATGAGTGAGCCAGGGTGAGAAGCCTCGAAGGTATAATTTTCTTAAGTATGTACATGAATAACAGTCTCTGGGAGGCAACTCAAATGACTACAGCCATAACTACATGATTTTGCATAATAATAGTGTCTTAGTCATCTAGTGCTGCTATAACAGAAATAACACAAGTGGATGGCTTTAACATAGAGAAATATATTCTCTCACAGTCTAGAAGGCTAGAAGTTTGAATTCAGGGTGCCATTTCCAGGGGAAGGCTTTCTCTCTCTGTCATCAGCTCTGGGGAAAGGTCCTTGTCATCAATCTTGCCCGGTCGAGGAGCTTCT